CACAGGGTAAAGTGTTACTCAGGGAGAGTCATGGTGGCAAACTCTGTCCCCAACGAACATTACTTCCTGTACGCGGCATCAGTGCTGTTCCTGGCACACCACAGAGCAGTCCCTTGGATGTGCAAATAGCAAAGCATGATTGTGATAGGCACTAGGGATTTTTGCTGGAAATGTGTCTTTTTTGGGACCATCATGGACAAATTATTTCATAGAATCATAGAAGATTAGGGTTCGAAGGGGCCTCAGCAGGTCATCTAGTCCAACCCCCTGCTCAAAGCAGGACCAACCCTAACTAAATCATCCCAGCCAGGGCTTTGTCAAGCTGAGCCTTAAAAACCTCTAAGATGGAGATTCCACCACCTCCCTAGGTAACCCATTCCAGTGTTTCACCACCCTCCTGGTGAAATAGTTTTTCCTAATATCCAACCTAGACCTCCCCCACTGCAACTTGAAACCATTGCTCCTTGTTCTGTCATCTGCCACCCCTCAGAACAGCCAAGCATTTTGGGAACCCTCCCTCCAGGTATCAAATCCCCCCTCGCTCTTCTCTTCTGCAGACTAAATAAGCCCAGTTCCCTCAGCCTCTCCCCGTATGTCATGTGCCCCAGCCCCCTAATCATTTTCTTTGCCCTCCGCTGGACTCTCTCCAATTTGTCCACATCCTTTCTGTAGCGGGGGCCCCAAAACTGGACGCAGTACTCCAGATGTGGCCTCACCAGTGCCAAAAAGAGGGGAATAATCACTTCCCTCAATCTGCTGGTAATGCTCCTACTATTGCAGCCCAATATACCGCTAGCCTTCTTGGCAACAAGGGCACACTGTTGGCTCATATCCAGCTTCTCGTTCACTATAAACCCCAGGTCCTTTCCTGCAGAACTGCTGCTTAGCCAGTTGGTCCCCAGCCTGTAGCAGTGTCTGGGATTCTTCCGTCCTAAAGGCAGGACTCTGCACTTGTCCTTGTTGAACCTCATCAGATTTCTTTTAGCCCAATCCTCAAATTTGTCTAGGTCACACTGGATGCTATCCCTACCCTCCAGCGTATCTACCTCTCCCCCCAGCTTAGTGTCATCCGCAAACTTGCTGATGGCGCAATCCATCCCATCATCCAGATCATTAATGAAGAAGTAGAAAAAAGCAGCCCCAGGACCAACCTCTGGGGCACTCCACTTGATACCGGCTGCCAACTAGACATCACGCCATTGATCACTACCTATTGAGCCTGACAATCTAGCTAGCTTTCTATTCACATATAGTCCATTCATCCAATCCATACTTTTTAAAATTTTCTGGCAAGAACTTGCCCTTGGTGAATCCATGTTGACTGTTCCTGATCATCTTCATATCCGCCATGCGCTTCAAAATGGATTCCTTGAGGACCTACTCTATGATTTTTCCAGGGACTGAGGTGAGGCTGACCAGTCTGCAGCTCCCTGGATTCTCCTTCTTCCCTTTTTTAAAGATGGGCACTATATTTGCCTTTTTCCAATCATCCAGAACCTCCCCCAATCGCTATGAGTTTTCAAAGATAATGGCTCTGCAATCACATCAGCCAACTCCCTCAGCACCCTCGGATGCATTAGATCCAGATCCATGGATTTGTGCATGTCCAGCTTTTCTAAATAGTCCTTAACCTGTTCTTTCACCACTGAGGGCTGCTCACCTCCCCCGCATAGTGTGCTGCCCAGTGCAGCAGTCTGGGAGCTGACCTTCTCTGTGAAGACTGCCGCAAAAAAAAAAAAAAAAAGCATTGAGTACTTCAGCTTTTTCCACAACATCTGTCACTAGGTTGCCTCCCCCATTCAGTAAGGGTCCCACACTTCCCCTGACCTTTTCTTGTTGCTAACATACCTGTAGAACCTCTTCTTGTTACAGTTCACATCTCTCGCTAGCTGCAACTCCAACTGTGCTTTGGCCTTCCTGAATACACCCCTGGATGCTCGAGCAATATTTTTTTACTCTTCCCTAGTCATCTGTCCAAGTTTCCACTTCTTGTAAGCTTCCTTTTTGTGTTTAAGCTCACTGAAGATTTCTCTGTTAAGCCAAGCTGGTCCTCTGACATATTTGCTATTCTTTCTGCACATCGGGAAGGTTTGTTCCTGCGCCCTCAATAAGGCTTCTTTAAAATACAGCCAGCTCTCCTGGACTCCTTTCCCCCTCATATTAGCCTCCCAGGGGATCCTGCCCAGCAGTTCCCTGAGGGAGTCAAAGTCTGCTTTTCTGAAGTCCAGGGTCCATATTCTGCTTCTCTCCTTTCTTCCTTTTGTCAGGATCCTGAACTCAACCATCTCATGGTCACTGCTGCCCAGGTTGCCACCCACTTCTACTTCCCCTACCAATTCTTCCCTGTTTGTGAGCAGCAGGTCAAGAGGAGCATGGCCCCTAGTTGGTTCCTCCAGCACTTACACCAGGAAGTTGGCCCCAACACTCTCCAAAAACTTCCTGGATTGTCTGTGCACTGCTGTATTGCTCTCCCAGCAGATGTCAGGGTGATTGAAGTCCCCCATGAGAACCAGGGCCTGTGATCTGGAAACTTCTGTTAGTTGTTCAAAGAAAGCCTCGTCTACCTCCTCCTCCTGATCTGGTGGTCTATAGCAGATGCCCACCATGACATCACCCTTGTTCTCTCGCCTCTAAACTTAACCCAAAGACTCTCAACAGGCTTTTCTCCAGTTTCATACTGGAGCTCTGAGCAATCATACTGCTCTCTTACATACAGTGCAACTCCTCCATGTTTTCTCCCCGACATGTCCTTCCTGAACAGTTTATACCCATCCATGACAGTGCTCCAGACATGTGAGTTACCCCACCAAGTCTCTGTTATTCCAATCACATCACAGTTCCTTGACTGTGCCAGGACTTCCTATTCTTCCTGGCTTGTTTCCCAGGCTTCTTGTGTTGGTGTACAGGCACCTAAGGTAACTAGCCGATTGCCCTTTCTCAGTATGAATTAGGAGGCCTCCCCATTGCACCCTCCTCCTTGTGTTTCCTCCTGGTATCCCACTTCCCCACTTACCTCTAGGCTTAGGTCACTGTATCACAGTGGTTCTAAAAGCCGGTCCGCCGCTTGTTCAGGGAAAGCCCCTGGTAGACCGGACTGGTTTGTTTACCTGCCACGTCCGCAGGTTCGGCCGATCGTGGCTCCCACTGGCCGCGGTTCGCCTCTCCAGGCCAATGGGAGCTGCGGGAAGGGCGGCCAACACGTCCTTTGGCCCGCGCTGCTTCCCGCAGCCCCCTTTGGCCTGAAGAGGTGAACTGCGGCCAGTGGGAGCCACAATTGGCCTAACCTGTGGACGCAGCAGGTAAACAAACCAGTCCGACCCACTAGGGTCTATCCCTGAACAAGCGGCGGACCAGCTTTGAGAACCACTGCTGTAGCAGATCGACACTCACCAGTGTGGCACCTCCTACTGGCTGTCTGGGAATTAGCTCAACTCCAGCTCCGGAGTGCCCTCTGCTGGCCAGTGTCTCCCCTGCCTCAGGCCCTGTGTTCCTCCCAGACCCCAGTACCCTCTTATGTTGGGGTGCTGCCCCACAGCAGTACCCCCACACTATGGATCTCCCCTCCCAGGGGAACCCCCAATACTCTAAGCCCACCTTGCCTCAGTGGCTACTGCCAGTCATCATCTAGTCCCCTTTCACTGGGGCAAAGGGCAGTCTGTAATGGCCGCTCATCATTGGCAAGGGGGTAGGACCTGCTGCCTCTGCCTATCCCTGGGATGCCCCTCGGCAGCCCCAGTACCTCTGTAGGCCTTCACCAAGGCACGCAGCCTGGAGGTTTACCAGGCTGGAGCTCCCCAGCTCCTCTTGCCCTTCCCTAGCATGGCTCTACTTCAGGTACCTTGCTCCCAGGCAGCTAGCCCTTCCTACTCCAGGGCTAGAGTGAGACTCCTCTCAGCTCCTGGCTCACACCAGCTGTGGCCTGATGGGGCTGGCCACACCTGTGGTCAGCTACTCCCTCAGATGCTTTCACTCCTTTTCCCAGCCACAGCCCTCTCCAGGGCTGCTTTTAAGCCCTGTTCTGTGGGAGTGGGGCAGCCACACCACTACAGTCACCCATCCCCTGGTGAACCTAGTTTAAAGCCTGCCTCACTAGGTTACCAAGCAGGGAAGTTCCATGGCCCATGTTATACAGGAGATCAGATTAGATGATCACAATGGTCCCATCTAGCTTTGGAATCGATGAACCTCTGAAAAACTGCTCTTACCTGACAGATATTCCATATTTGCACCATTACAGCAGACGCTGTCAAAACCAGCTACAACATCACTGTTAAACAGTAGCCACATGGAGGTTTTTACCAGTATAACTATACTGGTTTCACTATAGCAGTAGAGATGCGTTAAATTTTTTGGATGAATTTTTTTTTTTGACAAAAAAATCCATAATTGGGTCAATCGCAACACCTTGAAAATTTGTGTTAAATGTGTCAAATTGTTTCAGCTGAAAAAGAATAGGAAAAATTCAGAAAAAGTAAAAATATTTTAATTTTTTTAATTCAAAATGACATTTCATTTAGAATTTTACTTCCATTTTATTAATTAAAAAAAGTAAAAACAAAAACCACACAAATGAAACAAAATGTATTGTTTCAGGTCAAATAAAGCATTTTGTTTGACCTGAAATGATTTTTTTCTGTTTCCGCTTAGGTCAACCTGAAGCAAATATTTTATTTTAGTTTTTGTTAGTTTTTGGTTTGGCCACAGAACTGAAAAAATCAGTTATTTGCACAACTCCACATACCGGTATCATTATACCAGTGTATATGTAGACAACGCCGTAGGCTGCTATTAATGTATCCAATGTTAGCTACTCTTCCTGAGGGGACAGAAGAGCCCCCCTCAAGACTACAGTGAAGAATTGAGAAGGAGGAAGGGGGATATTGGTTCCAGTTTCTCTGTGTTTCATGAATGATGCAGATCCAACAGGGAGTGCTGTCTAGTTTTTTAATATATTTATAGTTTATATTTTTGAGTCACAGAAAAAAAGAAAGAGTGCAAGGGAAGTGTTGGCTTTAAGCAAACTACAGTAAAACCATCACACAAGTAGAAAGAATAATACAATAAACAGGGATTAAATGACTAAGATTTACACAGGAAATACATATGGTACAAAGGATAATAAGTTAGATGATTCACCTGTCTGCATATCAGATTCAGCAATCCAAATAGCGAAGTATTGACCACGGTTTCTATGTTTCATATTAGTAAGTTTATGTGGGGTCAGGCTACCACACGTTTTATTCAACAATATGTGGGATTAGTGGTGTTTTGTTCCTGGCCTGCAATAGTGAACGTAGCATTGATGGTTTTTGTTGCTGAATGTTCATTGTTTAATACAAGTAAAGGAACAGACACAGAGAACCACACTCAGGCACGGCATATGCAGGTGTAATGCCATTTAAACCAGTGGCGTTGTACCTGCCTACCTCAAGGCTGAATTTGACCCACTGATTTCTGCAGGACAGCCTAAAACCAAATTGTTTTATTCTTGCTAAAGGTTCCTAAAAAATCAAGGTCCAAATTCAACTGTGGTTTAACTTCTGAGAAGTCAGTAACCTTACAAACCGGGATTACATTTGCCCCTGGACTCTACAGCAATCCCAGCAGGTATGTTATAAATAACAGCTGTTGAGTTACATTGGCAGCATGGCTCTGTTTAGTGTTTCCCATTTTATAGACTTTGGGATTTTAACTGGGAGTGCTGTAAGATTTGCTGTTGCATCTTAAAATGATCAGCGCATAGTGACATGATAGAGGTTTATCTCCACACCTTACCCTGAAATCTGATTTGATTGCTAGCATCAGTTCTAAAACTATTATAATTTGCTCTTATTTATGTGCCACCAATGTGGGCTAGGAGCTTTGCAAACATGTGAGAAGAAAGCTCTCTGCCCTGGAGCATTCATAACCTAAGTAGACACAAAAAGGGATGAGAAAAGGGGGGGAAGCTATACAGCATAAAAGCAAAGGGGCGGAACTGAGGCTTCCAACATATTGTTGGTTCCATGATTTTTCCAATATGTTTTCCAGTGTGTTCCATTTTCCCAGTTATCACTATATCTTTGGCTGTGCTGGACTTGTTTCTTAAGTAATATAGCAAATATTTTAATAATCGATTGTTCTGGTTGGCATCTTGAATCCAAAGTTCATGTCATTGAGTCTCTGCCATAATTGCTTTACAAACTTCAAAACACTTAGATAAAGTTATTTGAGCATAAGTTTTCGTGAGCTACAGCTCACTTCATCGGATGCAAAGCTTATACTCAAATAAATTGGTTAGTCTCTCAGGTGCCACAAGTCCTCCTCTTCTTTTTGTGGATACAGACTAACACGGCTGCTACTCTGAAACCTTAGATAAAGTTATTTCAATCTAAAAAAAAGCGCTTCCTAAATTGCTCTGCTGGGGAAGCTTTAGCTCAGCTCAATGCAGATCTGGCAGCTCATGCCTGGGACACTTTATCTGGGGATGGCACACAGCTCGTAGGAATCGGGGGAATGTATGAGGATGTAGCACCCGTCTTCCTGTGGCCTGGGCTGACCCTCAGGGATATGGAAAGTGAAATGCTGCAGGAGGGTTGCGAAGAAGAGAAAGAGCTCCTTCCTGGCCAGCTGCTCCCCCAGACACATGCGGCGACCTGTAAAAGAGAGAGTGAGGCAGGAGCAAGAGGGAGACCCCCAAAACAAAATGATACCAGGAAAGATCCTAGCGCAAATAATTAAACAATACATTTGTAAGCACCTGGAGGATAATAGCGTTATAAGGAATAGTCAGCATGGATTTGTCAAGAATAAATCATGGCAAACCAACCTAATTTCCTTCTTTGATAAGATTACTGGCCTTGTGGATAGGGAGGAAGCAGTAGATGTGATATATCTTGATTTTAGTAAGGCTTTTGACACAGTTCCATGTGACATTCTTATAAGTAAACTAGAGAAATGTGGTTTAGATGAATTTACTAAAAAGTGGGTGCACAACTGGTTGAAAGACCGAACTCAAACAGTAGTTCGCAAACCATATGACTACTACTGTCATACTGGGAGGGCATCTCGAGAGGGTCCTCCAGGGGTCAGTCCTGGGTCCGGTCTATTTAATATTTTCCCTAATGACTTGGATAATGCAGTAGAGAGTATGCTTGTAAAATCTGCAGATGACACTGACGTTCGGTACCTCATGGGAACACCCTACATGTTCATCCTCATAAAATGATTGTGTGGTATCCAATGCAACGTTTGTCATGTCGGGTGTCTTCAGAAGGCTCATGATGCACTGAGCATTGTTGTTCTAGTAATTTTTGTTGCAGTAATGTTATACTAATGTTACAGGTTATCATTCTGTATATAGTTATGAGGCTGAAAATGTATCCTCATGGCTTAAAATAAGCCCAGGCAAAAACTCTCTAAGAGCAGAGGGGCAGTTTACACCTCATCAGGGCATGCATGGGACAAACCCAGCCCAGCCTCACAGGAACAAAGGACACTGGCCCAGGCAGCAACTAAAGGATCTGTTGGACTCTCGAGTGAGTCACCCCCCTTCCTTTGGTCAGTTTGGGACTGTGATGAGGTAATGCTCACCTGACTCTGAAGGGGGGAGGGGGGGCAAAGCCAAGGGGGAAGAAAGAACATGATAAAAGGGAGAGACATTTGCCATGCTCTTCCTCTCTCTTCCACCTACATCTACAGACCAGTGGCAGATTTAGAGTTAGTGGGGCCCTGTGTGCAGCTTCATTTTGCCCCCCCTCACATGGTGGGAGCATTCTCTCTTATCTTCCCCCAGCCCTGTTTTTCATTTTTCCCCCCTGTATTCTCCTCCTGGGACTCAGGGCTGGAGGTCCAGGCTCTGGGAGGGAGTTAGGGTGGGGGAATAGGCTGGGGGTGGAGGGTCTGCGTGGGGGTTATGGTGATGGAGGGGCTCAAGGTTGGGTTGCAAGGGAGGGAGTTAGGGTGTGGGAGCAGGCTGGGGCTGGGAGTACAAGGTCTGGGTGGGAGTTAGGGTGCAGGCTAGGGATGGGGGGTCTGGCCAGAAATTAGGATGTGGGACGGGGCTCAGGACTGGGCAGGGGGTTGGGGTGCGGAGAACTTACCTGGGACAGCTCCCATTTGGTGAGGGGGGTGCAGGTGCGGCCCTGTACTTGCCCACAGGCACCACCCCCTGCAGCTCCCACTGGCTGTGATTCTTGGAACCACCTCCCCCCCTGCCAGGGAGGGCCAGAACTCAAGGGCTTTAGGGGCTGCAGCCCAGGCTAAGTGGGCTCCGGAGCCCTGGGCTGCAGCCCCTAAAGACCCGCCCCATTTCTGAATCTGGTCATGTGAGCACGGGCTGGAGGACTCAGGAGAAGCAGGGGCAGCCACACAGCCAGAGAGAAGCGGTGGTTTCCCCTTCAAAGTGCCGCTTCTCTCCGCCCGGCTGCGCAGCTGCCCTGCGCTCCTCCTGAGTCCTCAGGCCCACATTTGCAGGGCTCCCGCCACCTGCACCTCCTGCCTGCTTCCCTGCGGCTGCAGGTGAGCCTCCCTCCCTGTTCTCCTTCTGCCTACAGCTTCTACCCTTGCAGCCCCCATCCTGTGGAGCATCCCCACTGTGGGGGGTGCGCTGCCTGAGTGCCCGGCCTTGGGGCCCCATGTTGCTGGGGGGCCCCGTGCCAGGGCACTGTGTGTTTCATGGTAAATCCGCCCCGCTGCAGACATTGCCACCAAGCGACTGAAGCACTGATCAAAGGGGAGAGCCTGGCTGAAGAGCAACCAACCAGCCTGTGGTGAGAAGCATCTAAGTTTGTAAGGGCACTGAAAGTGTTAAGATCAGCTTAAAATGCTTTTTGCTTTTATTTCATTTGACCAAATCTGACTTATGTTTTGACTTATAATTACTTAAAATCTATCTTTATAGTTAATAAATCTGTCTGTTTATTCTACCTGAAGCAATGCATTTGGTTTTTAGCATGTCAGAGACTCCCCTTGGATTAACAAGCCTGATACATATCAATTTCTTTGTTAAATTGACAAACTCATATAAGCTTGCAGCGTCCAGCGGGCATAACTGGACACTGCAAGATGGAGGTTCCTAGGGTTGTGTCTGGGACTGGATATATTGGCTAGTGTCATTCAGTTGCACAATCCAAGGAGCAGCTTACATGCCAGAGGCTGTGAGTGAACATCTCAAGAGTGGGGGTTCTCACAGCAGAGCAGGGTAAGGCTGGCTCCCAGAGACAAGGATTGGAGTGACCTAGCAGATCACCGGTCCGGATAACACCAGAGGGGAACGTCAGAGACACCAAGCTGGGAGGGGTTGCAGGCACTTGGAAGGGCAAGTTTAAAATTCAAAATGATCTTGACAATTTGGAGAATTGATCTGAATTCAGCAAGATGAAATTCAATAAAGACAAGTGCAAAGTACTTCACTAAGGAAGGAAAAGTCAAATGCAAAACTACAAAATGGGGAATAACTGTCTAGGTGGTTGTACTGCTGAAATGGATCTATGGCTAAGGTGGCCATACTGTGGCTCCTGAGACACATGTGGCTCTTCTAGTGTTAAAGTGCAGCTCGCAGAGCCTCCCACACCTCCCTCCCCATTCTCCAGCTACCAGGCTGCAGTGGGGAGCTCGGGACCTCTTCCTTGCAGTGGGGTGCTGAGGTAGGGGCTTATGCCCAGTGAGGAGGGGGGTCTTGGTGCTTCTCACCAAAGGGTGTGTCTGCTGAGGCTTGGGACTTCAGCAGGAGTAGGACTGAAACTTCTGAAGATGGTTGTATGTGGCTCGGAGGGTCAGTAAGTTTGGACACCCCCGGTCTATGGGTTACAGTGGATCACAAATTGAGTATGAGTTGTAAATATGATGTAGCTGTAAAAAAGGCTATTATGATTCTGCGGTGTATTAACAGGCATGTTGTACGTAAGACACAGGAGGTAATTGTCCCTCTCTACTTAACACTGGTGAGGCCTCAGCTGAAGAACTGTGTCCAGTTCTGGGCACCACAATTTAGAAGAGATGTGGACAAATTGGAAAGAGTCCAAGGAGAGCAACAAAAATTATCAAAGGTTTAGAAAACCTGACCTATGACGAAAAGTTGAAAAATCTGGGCTTGTATAGTCTTGAGAAAAGAAGACCGAGTGCCAACTTGATAACAGTCTTCAAATCTGTTAAGGGCTGTTATAAAAAGGATGGTGATCAAGTGTTCTCCAAGTCCACAGAAGGTAGGACAAGAAGTAATGAGCTTAATGTGCAGTAAGGGAGATTTAGGTTAGATATTAGGAAAACCTTTCTAGCTCTAGGATATTTAAGCTCTGCAATAGGATTCCAAGGGAGGTCAAGGACTCCCTATCAGGAGCGGCAAAAGCGCCTTAAAAGTGTGGGGGCCACCGGCGCCCAAACTGTGGCCCTGCCCCTGCACAGTCCCTTTCTCTTGAGACCCCAGCCCCCCACACTGCCCCTTCCCTGTGGAGCCCCACCCTTGTGCTGCCCCTTCTCCCCAGGCTCCTGCCCTCGCACCACCCATTCCTCCGAGGCCCAGCTCCACTCTCGCTCCTCTCCGCCTTCTCCCCCATTGCTTGCCCTTACGTCTGTAAAAAGTGGGAGGTCAACAGGGCCATTGCCCCCACCCCCACCCCCGCACCCCAGGTCTCCATCACTGGAAGCGTTTAAAAACAGGACAAACACGTGTCAGGGTACTTGGTCCTGCCTCAGCGCAGGGTGCTGGACTTGAGGGTTTCTCGAGGTCCATTCCAGCCCTGCATTTTTTATGATTCTAAGTCACTGGGAGCAGCACTCCCACCCCATGAACAATGAACTGAATCAAAGGATCTGACCCACTTCGCCACTCTGCCATATATCACTAACGACTGCGAACACCTAATTCCAGAAAGTACTGCCTCACTGGAACACACCATTTCTCCATCTAGTCCAGCATCCTCTCCCTGACCGTGACCAGTACCAGAGAATTCTGAGGAAGGTTCAAGAAGCCCCGTAAGGAGCAGTTAATATTTGGCTTCTGCCCTGCAGCATGAGAACTGATGCCCTTTATTCATTTTAAAGATAAAGACATCTGTGACTCCTTTCCACAGTGATGGCCTCACCCAACTGCTCTGCCCTTGGATTTACCTGCAGAGAAAGGCAGGAAGGCCTCTTGCTTCACAAACTGCCCATCTGCATCCAGGAAGTGCTCCGGGTAGAACTGGTGGGGCTTCTCCCAAATCATTTCATCCTTCAGCACTGAGGACAAAACCGCGATGATGGTGGTGCCCTAAACATTCCCATTAACGTCCCCAAAACAAAAACAAACAGGTTATTTCAGGAGAATATAAACCATTGTCAGCTTTACCTTATGCTTCCTTTTACTATCATCTACAGTGAAAGAAAAGCCAGGCAGTTCTCTGTTGCCCTATTAATCAGATAATGGCACCACTTTCCATTGGAAAAGGCCTATCAATATAACATTTGTGTATGTAAATGAGATTTCCACTTCCTTCAATGATATTAGCAGGACAAAATTTCCTCCCACTCCAGATCTCCCTAAATTTTAAACCAAATGAATTCTGTATAATGAGATTCAGTTGAATCTATACAGTTGGATCTACTGGTAGAAATACAAAAACAACAAAGAGTCCGGTGGCACCTTAAAGACTAACAGATTTATTTGGGCATAAGTTAACTCTCTTCTCTTCATGTGTCATTGTCACACTTCCTGCATCTGTAATCTTTACTCCATGAATTTGAAGAAGTGTTTTTTTACCCACAAAAGCTTATGCCCAAATAAATCTGTTAGTCTTTAAGGGGCCACTGGACTCCTCGTTGTTTTTGTGGATACAGACTTACACGGCCACCCCTGATACTTGCTAGAAATACAGTTCTCTGTGAGGTTCAAGTCCTTTAGAATAGCATGCTACATAACGAGCCTGTGACTTAGTAACTAAGTATCCTAGCAATATCCCTTAACAATCTGCATCTGGGCTGCATTCATTTTCCAGGGGTCACAATTGCTGTACCTTAGGGATGAAAAAGCCTTGAACTTCAGTGTCCCGGTACGTCGTGCGAGGCACTCCAGCAAAAACAACATCACAATAACGCTGAGTTTCATAGATCACAGCATTGGTGTAAGGCAAGTTCACTTGGTCCTCTATCTCGGGTGACCTGTCCCTGCCAATTACCTTATCAATTTCCTCATGGACTCTTCCTGGAAATATAGGAACACTTTATATAGCAGGGAGTATAACAGAGTAGACATAATAGACTATTAAGGGTCTGATCCAGTTACCACTGAAAACAGTTGAAACATTCCCATTAACTTCTCTTCTAAAGAGACCCTCTATCAACCCTTTATATTTGGCACGAATAGGTATTCCCATCCAAGAAACAGGTAACATGTATTCAGTGTAAATAAGTTTCCGTGCGTTATGTCTACATTAGACGCTTACACTGGCTACTACTTTGTTGATGTGAAAAATTCTAGCAGACTGCAGAAGCACAATTTCCATATCAGACACAGGGACAACCACTGTGGGGAGTGCGGGGGGATACCCTCCCTCCAGGATGTTGTCCTCCCCACCACTCTGGTCATGGAGTTAAAAATGCAAACGCTTTTCATCTTTCCCGTAAGATGTGCCCTCCTGCTGCTGCCCACCTCCTCTTAACGCCCCCCTGCACATCACCATTTTCACCTCTCCCCCTGCTCTGCACTGTGCTCGGGGCTGTACCAGTGTAAATATGACAAACTGCTGTGCTGCAGCCAGCCAAGCCTACAGGGGAAGGCAGAAGCACAGAGGCTGCAGCACCACTTAGGCCTGTACACTGGGAAATCAAGTCGGCCTAACTACGTTGCTCACAGGTGTGAAAAATCCACACTGGGAAACCTCGGAATTTCAGAAGCCCCAGGAGGAGGTGGGGGGCGGGGGTGGCGGGGGCGGGGGGTGACTGGGGAAGGAAGCAGGGGAAAGAGCCAGGGTGGCGGGGGTCGGGGGAAGGAGACGCACGCGAGCAGAGAGTAGGGAATGGGTGGGTGTGAGTTAGCTTGCGGAGGGAGGCTGACCTTTCTGTGGGGGGCAGTGAAGCGGGGAGAGGAACATGAGAGGAGAGTGGAGGCTGCACAAAGGGGGTCAGAAAGAGCTCTCCCCAGCAGAGGGGTGGCTGAGGACTGTGTGTGGAGGGATGGTGTCTTGTTTTGGCAGAAGGCTCTGGAACACCAAGGCCAGGTTTAGACTACAGACCTATATCCATATAACAACATCGCTGAGCAACTAGTTATACTGACCTCACCCGCCGTGCAGACAGGACTCCCTGGGTCGCAGGCAGGTGTCTGCGGAGTGAGGTAGGGCAGCCTGCATGGAGGTATGTGTGTGAATGGAGTCGTTAGGGCAAGGGCCTGCCTGCGTGAGTGGGCTCTGAGGGCGTGTGTGGGGCTTGGTTTGGTCTGATTGATTGGGGGTGCGGGGGGTTGGAGGAGGATGGCAGCTGAGCCAGAGAGTGATCTTTGTGTGGGAGGCCAGAGGGTGCGTGCGAGAGAGGTCTGGGGGACGGGAGGGAGCGTAAAGTGCCTGTGGGTGAGGAAGGACGGGGTGAAGGGTTTGGTCGGGGCTGCAGGAGAACGTGAGACTGACAACCTGGGGGAAGGAGGGAGGGAACACAAAGTAGGAAAGAAGAGGAAGGTAGATGCAATGGAGAAGAGAAGGAAAGAGAGGGAGCAATTAGGACACAATGTCAAAAAATACTACTAAGGGGATAATAGACTGAAAATACAGAGCAAAACGTCTGCAGTGAGGAGATGACGGTGTGAAGGAAATGGAAAAGGGGAAAGAACAAATGCGAGGGAGACCAAGGATACTGTGTAAAGGTTTTGTTGTTAAGAAATGTGATAAAATGTGCTGTGCAGGAGGGGACAAAAAATTTGCCTTGGGACAGCCCTAGCTCCCAACTAGCCCCTCTCCCATCATTGTGACTTCTTTATGTTCGACAAAATTCTCCCACCTGGTCCCCATCCATTTTGTTTTCCTGTTGTTGCACCTACGAGAAGTTGTACAGATGTGTCAGTTAATCGAGGCTTTTCATGATTCCCTCTATTTATTGTTTCAACCAATTTGTCTGTACTGAAGGAAGGTTCACTGGTCTGCATTTCCCCAGCCCAGTCCGAGAGGCTTTTTAAACCACCGTGACAATATTTGCTCCTCCAGTACGGTATTTGATCATTTCAGAGACAGCACGATTTTGTTAGCAGCTCAGCCACTTCATTCTTAAAGTCCTTGGAATCTCTTGGAGATAAGCCAGCTGGTCTTGGTGGCACTTAAATGTATCCATTTATTCCAGAACCTTTTCTTTTGTTAATTCTATCTCTGACTATGCCTTGTGATCACTACCTGAAAATACATAGCAGAGGTAGATATCTCCCCAAAGGTTCACTGTTGTAGTGAGGACTGATACAAAGAAACCATTTAGCTTCTTGTTAATGTCCTTATCCTCCTTGATCGTTCCCTTTCTTCCCTGGTAGTTCTGGGGACCAACCAATTCTCCCAGACATCCTGCTTCTGATATACGAAATAATGTGTTTGTTTTCATGTCTTTGGATATAAATTCTTTACATTTCCTCTCACCTCTCCTAATTTCCATGTTATAGTTTACCTCTTTACCTTCCTTTCTACTGGCATCACTTGGGCTGGATTCCATTGTATTTTTTACAGATACCTCTTTGGTCTGGACAACCAGGATGCTACTTAAGCAACCCTACCCTATCCTCACTTCTGACTCTAGCGCCTTTTTGACTGCCTTGTTCATTTTTAAAAGCCCCCTTGGAAAGTGCAAGTTTTTGGTTTGATTCTTTCCCTTCAGCAGTTGAACTTATTTATATGGTGGTGACACTTAGTGTCTGAACTTCTTGAATTAAGTCCTATGTGGTATTAGGACTAATCTGAGTGCAGACTCTCTTTTTATGTGTTAGAGAAATAATTGTTTCAAGAAGAAATTGTGTAAAAGAGTTGAGAAAAGGTTTCTTCTTATATATCCCTGAAGTTGATCGGGGGTGGAAGTGAAAGGGGCCAAGATTTTCCAAAGTGACTAGTGCTTGTGAGCAACACAATGTGTAGGTGCCCGTTTTGACAAGAGGCCTGATTTTCAGAAAGTGCTGAGTAGCCACCCTCTGAAAATCACGTCCTTTTAAGGTATCTCAAGTTGAACACCCAAAAGCTGAGCTGCCCAAAATTGCTAGTCATTTACCGAATCTTGGCTTAAGCATTTGTGGCCAGAGAGAGAAAACTTAGCAAGGAGCTGCTGGAGACACAAGGTGCACTTAACAGTAGCAGTGGGTTTCTGTGAACATACTGAGATCTTTAACAAGGGCTTTCCCTCTCCTCATGAGATTTTGCTCTCCCCCTCAGCACATAATGCTCCATGATGATTGTGTGGACTTATCCCCTCCTCATTACTGTAGTTCTGTTCAACAGTAAATACTACTGACTGTACTCCAGGAGGTCACATCCGAAAGACAAAAGCATCTATAAGTAGAAAAATACTGGAAACTTGTCAATGGGAGGTACAAGGTGTGAGGAAGCTCTGGCACTCCCAAACTGCATCACTTACTTTGGACATCAGGATAGCGAAGCATGAACAGCAGTGCCCAGCACAGGGTTACAGTGGTTGTTTCAGTGGCGGCACCAAACAGGTCAAAAACTGTAAAGATCAGGTTGTCCTCACTGAAAGTGCTCTCTGGGTCCATTTTAGCCTGAAGGAAATAACAATAGACTTGTCATACAACTTGGGTTTGTTGTTTTTTATTTAATTCACCCTACTAGCTAGGAGCATACATTTGAGTGTATAACGCATTTTCCAGACGTAGGAGTCTGAGGCCCTGTTGCCCCACACCTGGTGTGATCATTGACACCTGTGCAGAGTGGAGGAGGATGCCTGATCAGAATGATAGCATTTTACACTCCCTTTGAACTGGTGCACATGTTTATACAAGGTATAGGGCAGGCAGGAGACAGGCCCACAATCCTGAAAATCTTCTTAGTAGGGATTAGAATTCAAAATATGAATGAGTTTCAAGATTCTTCCTTGACTGAGAAGAGCTAAATAAACCAGCAATGCATGCATTGATCAAAGGTAGAGTCACTAAGGTTTCATGAAGTATGGGAATGAAATTTGAAATATTTTTGCATTACTTTCAAGGCTCATAATACTAGATTTCATAGAAGCACCAAAAAGCAATGGGAAGTCCAAAGGAAAATATAATAAGGATATTTTAATAGCTTAAAATCATTGACTTACTTCTTGTGGGCAAGAAGAAAATAGTGGATCTTTAGAAGGGATTTGGATGAAGAGAAGGCAATGGCTTAGTAGACCAGAATTTGGAGGGTGTTTCAGTGGTATGAAGTAGCATGAAAGAAGACACAGAGAAAACTGTGGGAGAATTAAATGAGTAAGGCATTGAAAGACCACAGGTTATGGGGGTGATGCATTAAGAGACTATGTCCAAGATATAATGTGGGTTGTGTAAGACTTTCAAGACAAGGACAAGAGATTTAAATCAGATGTGATAAACAAGAAGGAACCAGTGGAGCAGAGAAAGAAGCAGCAAGATTTGAAATTGGATGTGTGCAGGGGGAGGAGAGGAAGGATTCATAGAGAAACCTAATTTTATGATCCTGGCTGAGCAGGAAGATGGGAGAGGGGTTTTGGAAAAAAGTAAGAATCTCATTTTTAGCTAAGTTAAACTTACACTGTGGACAAATCACCTCGGAAGAAATGTCAGAGGGACTGAAGTACAGGACTCCTTAGCGAGAGATGGGTCAGGAGAGCTGAGCTTGGTTTGCTAGTTATGAGCCTCGAGATGAAAGTTGCAACTGTGTAAGCAGATATGGTTCCTCAGAGTTACAGTGTAGAGGGAGCGGGCAAGGGCAGAGGCTTTAGGACTTCCACAGACAGTGGACGAGCAGAGGAGGATCCACCACAGAGAATGCTGAAGCAACAGGTGGGGAGAAACTACTGGGGAGATGGTTCGCCAGATACAACAAGAAACTGCCAGGCATGAGCTCCAAATCAAAAAAGCAATGGAAGAACAGCAGAAACTATCATCCTGAAAAGCCAGCTCCTCTCAACAGCAAAGATGGGGATAGAATCTATCCAGTTTGTAAAAATGTTGGTATGTTGTTTGACTCTAAGCAGTTGTCTGTGTGAAACCAAATATACCCCAGCACTGACACCTTTTATGTAAATGCTTTTACTGTGAGCTCAGGTGAAGGTAACCCCATAACTTGTGCAGAGAATATAAAAAATCAATGGTAAAAGCTGTTTAGGGCAAATTACAACTTTTAACATCACTCTAATTAAAGGTTTCAGAGTAGCAGCCGTGTTAGTCTGTATTTGCAAAAAAAAAAAAGGAGGACTTGTGGCACCTTAGAGACTAACAAATTTATTTGAGCATAAGCTTTCGTCTTTGTCAAAGAGGAAGATTATTTACCAGATAAATGTGTGAATATTGTAATCCTCTATGAGTTTCCTGTAAGTTTGCCTTTAGCCAGAATCCACTATGAATAGAATGGTAATAAACATGAAATTATAGCTGGTGTAAGGAAGTTATTGCCTAAGGATCTTTTGATTGGGGTTTATATTAAAGCTTTGTTCAGTCGAGTTAACTAGTCACAGGAAAGAAATAATCCTGACTTTGTGTCTATTAGAGACAATGATTTGCCTATGGAGGTTTCAGAGTAACAGCCGTGTTAGTCTGTATTCGCAAAAAGAATACAGCTGAAGTGAGCTGTAGCTCACGAAAGCTCATGCTCAAATAAATTGGTTAGTCTCTAAGGTGCCACAAGTACTCCTTTTCTTTTTGCCTATGGAGGGTTTCTCCAAATGTTTGTCTGGGGAAGATAGCTGTTTGTCTGTGCAGAAAAGCAGGGTATATGTGGAAGAAATTTCTGAGTATTTGTCTAGTATCTCAGAAGTGAATCTAAAATTAGCTAAAGCACAGAGAGAACTCATTGGTCAGGAAAAAGTTTCTCTGGAGCAGATTAAACTTGGTGGTCAGGTTAAAGTCCTAATTGAGGAAGAAAAAGGTAGATTTTTTAGGGGTGATGGATTGTTGGCAAGTAAAGTTTGTGAAAGTAAGCCTGAAAAAGTGAGAAGTGATTTGCTTAAAGTATCTCAGTATAATGTGGAGAACAGCAGTTTATCTGTTGGGAGTGGCAACCTGCCTGTTAAGGAAGGTGTCCCACTTTCTAGGTGTGTATCTGAAATCAGCCATGGGTGCTGGGACAAAGGAAAGGGTATTTCCAATGGTTTGTCAGTTTTAAATAGCAGCAGCACGCCTGCTGAGGGAAAGTTTCTTTCCCGTTCTTTGTCTGTGGAGCAGACAGAAAATGCTTCTCAGTTTATGCTACTTGAGAATTTGTCAGTTGTCCCAGAGTTGGTTCTGGATACAACTAAAGCCCAGGACGGAAATGTTGCTAAGTTTGTGTCTGCTGGGGAGAATGGCATTGTAAGTAGTTTGCATCCAGTTAATGTCATAACTGAGTCCCAGGGACCAGGTGCTTCTGGTGCTTCTATTTTGCCTGTTGCTAGTGTGTTGCTGGGTAAAGGTGTGACAACTCCGTTTAACCAGGTTGATATCATAGCCAGGGCACAAGGAAAGCATGAAGGTGATTTGATTGTGTTACCCACTAGCAGTGTGGAAACTTGTAACAAGAAGGAAATGATTCCTAAGCTTGTGTGTGGCAAAAGGAAGGGGAGTGCCTCTAACCTTTTATCTAGTAAGTCTATCAAATTGCCTAAAAGGGGGTTATGTGAAAATCCTCCTAATGTGTCAGAGATGATTCTGGGTGTAAGTGAAACTCGGAAGGAGTTTGTTGTGGCTCCACAGAGCAATGCTTTTGTAGAGCAAGAAAAAAATGGATTGTTGCTTAGAAAGATTCCTGAAGAGAAAAATCTTCCTGGTAGTCTTTGCAAGCAGTTTGCTGCAAATGAGGGGTGTGGTGAAAGTGATTGGGCAACAAAATCGCAAATGAAATTTAATGTGGATAAATGTAAAGTAATGCACGTTGGAAAAAATAACCCCAACTATATATACAATATGATGGGGGCTAATTTAGCTACAACTAATCAGGAGAAAGATCTTAGAGTCATCGTGGATAGTTCTCTGAAGACGTCCAGGCAGTGTGCAGTGGCAGTCAAAAAAGCAAACGGGATGTTAGGAATCATTAAAAAAGGGATAGAGACTAAGACGTAGAATATCTTATTGCCTTGTATAAATCCATGGTACGCCCACATCTTGAATACTGCGTACAGATGTGGTCCCCTCATCTCAAAAAAGATATACTGGCATTAGAAAAAGTTCAGAAAAGGCAACTAAAATGATTAGGGGTTTGGAATGGGTCCCATATGAGGAGAGATTAAAGAGGCTAGGACTTTTTAGCCTGGAAAAGAGAAGACTAAGGGGGAATATGACAGAGCGATATAAAATCATGAGTGGTGTGGAGAAAGTGAATAAGGAAAAGTTATTTATTTGTTCCCATAATATAAGAACTAGGGGCCACCAAATGAAATTAATGGGTAGCAGGTTTAAAACAAATAAAAGGAAGTTCTTCTTCACTCAGCGCACAGTCAACCTGTGGAACTCCTTGCCTGAGGAGGTTGTGAAGGCTAGGACTATAACAGGGTTTAAAAGAGAACTGGATAAATTCATGGAGGTTAAGTCCATTAATGGCTATTAGCCAGGATGGCCAAGGAATGGTATCCCTAGCCTCTGTTTGTCAGAGAGTGGAAATGGATGGCACTTGATCATTACCTGTTAGGTTCACTCTCTCTGAGGCACCTGGCCTTGGCCACTGTCGGTAGACAGGATACTGGGCTGGATGGACCTTTGGTCTGACCCAGTATGGCCTTTCTTATGTTCTTATTTAATTGAGGTAGTTTCAGTTCCTAACTGCCAGAGTCTTTCAGATGTGTATGGATCCACTGCCCCAGCTTCAGAAAGACCCAGTGTGGATATCTTTGAGAAGGTTTTAGATAAAATAAAAATTGTTTGGAAGTTTGAACAGCCCTATAAGCTTAACCAGCTTGTTGGGGAGCCAATGTTGGGACAGGAAGGGCTCCATGTTGATTCTTTAAGTAAGTATTTCAGGTTCAGAGAAAAAACTGGGTAGCTGATTCTGTAGAGCAGGACAGCTGTGCAGCTGATCTCTCAAGAATACAGGGGATGGCAGGCAAACTTTGATCTCTAGACACTTTGAATATGTCTTGTTGTCTGTTAGTGGATTTGACATCTGATTCCATGTTGAAGCAGAGGTTGGTAATGAAAAGACAAAAGGACCTTGAGTCTAACTTGCTGTGAAAATGGATGGTATTTCTTTAAGACAGAGTCCAGCCTTGGAATTGGTAATGGTTAGTCATAAATATAAAGGGAAGGGTAACCACCTTTCTGTATACAGTGCTATAAAATCCCTCTTGGCCAGAGGCAACATCCTGTTACCTGTAAAGGGTTAAGAAGCTCAGCTAACCTGGCTGGCACCTGACCCAAAGGACCAATAAGGGAACAAGATATTTTCAAATCTTGCGGGGGAAGGCTTTTGTTTGTGCTCTTTATTTACGTGTTTGTTGTCTCCTGGGACTGAGAGAGGCCAGACAGAAATCCATCCTAATCCAAGTCTCCAATATTGCAACCAGTATAGGTAAGCCAGGCAAGGCGGATTAGTTTATCTTTTGTTTTATGTGAATTTTCCCTGTGTT